GCTCCACCAATGGATAAAAATCAACACATTCTTTAAGAAATCGTTTTTTCATTTAATTTCTGAATTATGAGACATATCTTCTGATAAACAAACTGTAATTTAATCCTCGGACTTTTGACGAGCTTCTATGTGTTCAATCTTGTACTTAAAAAATCATAACAACAATCATAAATAATTTGATACTTGCAAAACGCGTAAACTTAACTTGACAATGTATACTGAAACTTGGAAAATCGCATAAGAAACAATCATATCACTGATACACTTTGCGACTTTCACAACATTCTCTTAATCAGAATGTGAAGTTATTTTTGGAGTAGCCTGGAACATTTTGTTGCGCTACCAAATTAAAGAAAGAAACATTAATTTACAAAAAGAATGAATAAAATCAGGGATTAGTCTTATAAACAACAGATTTTAATAATCTTGATTTGGAATAAAGATAAAATACAACTCACTTATAATTTTGGATTGGGAAAATTGTAAAAATACCACTTTTTATGTGTATATTTGCAAAAATGTTATTCAAGGGTGTTTATTTGCAAAAATGAACACTAATTATAAATTTTTAAACCCTATATCTTAACATTCTAGACACTAAAAAATGTTTTGACCCTTCTAAATCTTCGTAACTAAATCCTAATAGAACATAGTTGGTCCAAACATAAATAATATGAAAATTTTTTTTTTTTTGAAAAAGTAGTATTTTTGTAAAAATTTCAAAAATGTAGTATTTTTTGTAAAATGACACTTGAAAAGTGGAATTTGCGTCATTTGGATTCGAGTCTAGTAAACAGATTGCTAAATAATGACGGATTTTCACTTGGATTACCACTGTTGTAAAAAAAATAAATAATAATAATAGAAAAAAAAGTTAATTGAAATAGGCCCATTCAAATACCAACTTATATAACATAATAAGCCCATAAAGGCCCAACGAAACCCTAACTCTAAAAATCCACCTACAGATCTATAAGTAAAATCAGTAGTCACTTTTTCATCATTCGTCTCCATTCTTGAACTCACCACACTGCAACAAACGCAAAGAAACCAGTAGCCTCCTTATTCTCTTAATTAAATTTTAATTTCATTTCTTCTTTCTCATTCTTAGATTTATTTGAAGCTTCCTTGTTTAGTGTTTTTTTTTTTAATTAGATTTTTAAATTTAAAGGCGATGATGACAACAAAACATTTCTCGATACTGAAAATTACTCGAGAGACCAATAAAAAATCCTCTTGTAATCTTTCATGATGTTTGTTATTTGTGCGTGTCTGAGCCTTTACAAATGTTTTTCTTGCAAATATAATCCGTCTTTCCGATTTTTTTTTTTT